TAAAAATCCACCAGAATCAAATTATTTGTTTATTGTCACCAAATAACCCTGTGATTTCTCATTCCTCCTCATATACTTAGATAATAACAAATGGATTATACATGAGACATGGAATAAGCCAATCACTATGAAGGTATTTTTTTTCATTCAAAACCAAAAAAAATAATAATCTAAAAATTTATGCCCAAGTGTGTCGTAAGCTTAAATGGCTTGAATTGGTCCTCCATAAACTATCAATTCTGGAATAACAATGGACCTGAAAAATCTTGAAGAACATTTGCACTAACAATGGTAAACAATCCTAACCAAAGTTGTTCAGCTATCTTTCTTCTTATTTAAATAGAATGAGTTATAGCACACATGGCATTTAAAATAAATTATAAGTGCAATTTTAGTATTTAAAAGATTATTTAAATCACAAAGTATTATATATAAGAATTATTCAACCAAACAGGAAACTGACCTAACAATGAAAAAACAATTACCTGTGTTGTATTTACTGAAATAAAGCATGTTCATTGTTTCATAAACATTTGAGAAATTCTAAGGGTAATTTTATTGTAAAATTCAACCTATGTACTGACTTCAAACCTAATCTGTTTTTAATATATAAATTATATCTCAAAAGTAAAAACTAATCCTATCTGAAATGAAATTCGGTATTAGTTATTACTTAATTCACTGCCTAAAAAAATCTGAGACCACCAATTTCAGTGTTGTACACCTCTAGTTCTAGGACTTACGAAGCTGAGGCAGAAGGACCACTCAAGCCCAGGAGTTAGTTGGAGACTAGCCTGGACAGTATAGCAAGAACCCATCGCAAAGAAAGAAAAAGAAAAAAGGAAAAAAATATCTGAGAGGATTGGGGGTTGGAATAATTATTAAAACCAGAAGAACATTGCTACAGCTTGCCCTCACCAAAACTCTTACTGAGTTTTCAACCATGTTGATTGGTGGTGGGTTAAGAGGGATTTACGTCTTTCTCCAGAGACTGTATAAGTTCTCAAAGAACACATTGTTATAATGCATCTAGCTCCTTTGGCCCCTCCTCTCTTGATTGTTTGTGGTACTGGGGATTGGTGCATGCTAGCCAAGTACTCTGCCACTGAGTTACATCTTTAGGACACTGGACCCTTCTCTTTTCTGCAGAAGCCCACTTCCCTTCCACTTTCCTGCCATGAGGTCTATAACAGAGGTCACCCTGATGTGAAAGCCTGATCTTGGGAACCTTCAGAACTGGGGCCAAATTAACACTCTTTTCTTTACAAATTACACAATCTCCAGTATTTCAATATAACAAAAGCAAACAAAGACTTACAAATATTTCATATACATAGAGACTTAAAAATGTTATATTCCTGATTCTCCTGATGAATATGCATCATTCTTTTTTCTAAGATTATTTCTATAATATTAAAAGGCAGAACATAGTAACAACCAAATTGGTGGTACATTATAAAGCATATATCAATAATTATACATTAGCCAAAAATAAACATCAATGCCTATAGTCAAAGGAAATTAACAAATGTGGACAAAGTAGTTTTGTCTTTATATTTAGTAGCTATAAAAATGAGCTTCAGGAAATGGTATAAAACAAATTTTAAGTCAATAATAATAATAATATACTGTTTTGCATTTACAAAAAGTAAAAACCTCTTTCGGAGCTCTAAAAGAAAGATCTCGATCTACTTTCTAACATTGGGGATATGTGTGATACCAAAATTAAAAACAGATATTCATTTTTCTTTTTAGTTATCCATGACAGAGTATATTTTGACATATTCATACACTCATGGAGTACATCTTATTCCTAATTAGGATGGCAATCTTGTGGTTGTATGTGATATAAAGACTCACTGTGGTGTATTTATATACATATGAAAGTTAAGTAACATTCATTCTACTGTCTTTCCCATTTCCTGTCTCACCTCCCTTATTTCATTCCTCTTTGGCTAATCTACAGAATTTCTATTCTTCCTCTGCCCCCATTGTTGTGTGTTAGCATTCACATTATGAGAGAAAACATTCAACCTTTGGTTTTGGGGGATTGGCTAATTTCACTTAGCATAAGAGTCTCCAGATCCATTCATTTTCTGGCAAATGTCATAAAGTCATTCTTTTTATAGCTTACATTCTATTGTACATATATACCACATTTCTTTGTCCATTCATCTGTTGGTTTCATAACTTAGCTATTATGAGCTGAGCTGCTATAAACACTGATGGGCTACATCACTGTAGTATGCTTTTTTTTTTTTTTAAAGTCCTTTGGGTATATACCAAGGAGTGGGATAACTGGCCAAATGGTGGTTCCATTCCAAGTTTTCTGAGAAATTTTCATACTGCTTTCCAGAGTGGTTGCACCAATTTGCAGTCCCACCAGCAATGTATGAGAGTATGTTTATCCTCACATCCTTGCCAACATTTATTGTTACTTGTATTCTTGATTATTGACATTCTGACTTGAGATGTGATCTCAGTGTAGTTTTAATTTGCATTTCTCTTAATTGCTAGAGATGTTGAACATAAATTCATACATTTGTTGACCATTCATTATTTCTTCTTCTGTGAAGTGTCTGTTCAGTTCCTTTGCCCATTTATTAATTGGATTATTTGGGTTTTTTAATGTTTTTTGAGCTCTTTATGTATCCCAGAGAGTAATGCTGAGATACAGGTGGCAAAGATTTTTTTCTCATTCTGTATTTAGGCTCTCTCTTTGTGCTCTTGATTGTTTCCTTTGCTGTGAAGAAGTTTTTTAACTTGATACCATCCCATTTATTGATTCTGGATTTTACTTCTTGCATTTTAGGAGTATTGTTGAGGAAGTCGGTTTCTAAGCCAACGTGATGGAATGCTAGGCCTATATTTTCTTCTAATAGGTATAGGTTTTATGGTCTAAAATCTAGGTCTTTGATCCACTAGTTTTGTGCAGGGTAAGAGACAGGGAATAAATTTCATTGTTACAAAAAGATTTCCAGTTTTCCCAGCACCATTTGTTGAAAAGGCTATCTTTTCCCCAACGTATGTTTATGGTACATGTGTCTAGTATGAGATAACTGTATTTATGTGAGTTTGTCTCTGTGTCTTCTATTTTGTACCATTGGTCCTCATTTCTGTTTTGGTGCCAATACCATGCTGTTTTTGTTACTATTGCTCTGTAGTATAATTTAAGGTCTGGTATTGTGATGCCTCCAGCTTCACTTTTCTTACTAAGCATTGCTTTGGCTATTCTGTGTTTCTTTTCCAAATGAATTTCATGACTGCTTTTTCTATTTCTATGAAGAATGGCATTGGAATTTTAAATAGGAATTGCATTAAGTCTATACAGTACTTTTGGGATAGTTTTCTTAATTTCTGTTTCAGCTGATTCATCATTGATGTACAGGAACACAATCGATTTATGGGTATTAATTTTATATCCTGCTACTTTGCTGAATTAATTTATGAGTTCTAAAAGTTTTCTGGTGGAGTTTTTTGGGTCTTCTAAATATAGGATTATGTTGACAGCAAATAGGCATAGCTCTTCTTTTCCTGTGTATCCCTTTAATTTCTTCTTTTGCCTAATTGTTCTGGCTAGAGTTTCAAAGACTGTGTTGAATAAAAGTTGTAAAGGAGGGCATTCCCGTCTTGTTCTAGTTTTTATCGGGAATGCTTTCAATTTTTCTCCATTTAGAATAATATTGGCCTTGGGTTTAGCATATATAGCTTTTACAATATTGAGGAATGTTCCTACTATCCCTTCTGTTCTAGCGTTTTGAACATGAATTAATGCTGTATTTTGTCAAATGCTTTTTCTGCATCTATTGAGATAATTATGTGATTCTTGTCTTTATATCTATTGATATGGTAAATTATGTTTATTGATTTCCATATGTTGAACCAAACTTGCAAACCTGGAATGAAACCAATTGATCATGTGTACTTTTTAATGTATTTCTGTATGAAATTTGCCAGTATTTTATTAAGAATTTTTGCATGTGTGTTCATTGAGGATGTTGGCATGAAGATTTCTTTCCTTGATGTGTCTTTGTCTGGTTTTAAAATCAGGGTGATACTAGCTTCATCAAATGAGTTTGGAAGGAGAACTGTGATATTTAAATATAACATTTGATACTATGTTTTCTAGATTTCATAAATAATCTTACCAGATAACAGTATAACACTTTACAATTAAAACTGTACAATTCATGAACTATATTCATAAACTGGAGTTGGACAGAACAGCATTATTTATCTTCATTTTACCAATTTAGATATTGAGACTCAAGATATTTTAGATTATGCATCTACTGTCACATAACTAGCAAATGGTATGATCAGTTCTCAAAACCTGTCAAAACCTAATGATTTATTCCTAAGCCATATTTAAAAATTACTATTAAAAAGACAAGACTAGAGTTGTGGCACAGTGGTAGAGCGCTTGCCTCATATGTGTAAGGCACTGGGTTCAATTCTCAGAATCACATATAAACAAATGAATAAAATAAAGGTCCATCAGCAATTAAAATATATATGTCTATTATATCTAATATATTTATTAATATATGTAAGATATATATAATACTACATATTCTAAAAAGTATCATTTTTTAAAAAAGATAATAGCACTATATTGTAGAGAAATAGAGCACCAACCTATGAATCTGAAAAAGTCTTTTTAAAAAGTTGGAGGAAACATAGTGTGCCACTTATCATTCTCAAAAGCATTTACAAAACATCTATATGCTTGTTTTAAGAACATTTACTAATCAGCAACAGTTTATATCCTTCCCTTAAGCCTAAATTAACATATCACTTTACTGCTCATCCTATAGAAATGATGGTAGAAGAGGTAGATCAACTTTAAGCAATTATAGAGCACATAAATCTATAGAGAGGCTGAGTCAGAACTTTTAAAAGTATACTTTCTGATCCAGCTGGCAACTTAAAATCTCAATTATTTTAATTTAAATTTCTGGAATATAATTTTCAAAGAATATAACAGAAAGGCTTGTTTCACTTACCGTTGGGGTAGGAGTCTATCATTAGCCAGGTAGCCTGGTTTATGAACCTCTTTATTATAATCTCCATACTTGGCTTGGACAGCATAGGAGGCCAAAAGAACTGCAGTTTCTGGTGGGCAATATATCTCATCATTTAATATGGCTTCTTTAACTTGCAAGAAGAAAAGTCTCTGGGTTATTTCTTGAATTAATTCCTCAGAAACATCTTCAGGAAAGAATTTAGCTCTAAACTTGAACTGTAAAGGATTCTCTTTTTTAACATCTTGCTGTGTCACCTAGAACAGTAATTCAAGTATAATCAATAAAAATCTCAAATTCAACACAACTTAGTCCAGTCACATCAAACTCTTTTTGGAAAAAAGAGGAATTGAAATAAAAGCTTCCAAACCTTCAAGTAATACTATGTAAGATTTTAAATGTGTAAACAAATAAATGTGAGAAAAGCAATGCTATGTTCAGTTATGAAGGCTGCTTGTAACTCACAGATCTGATTTAATAACTAAATTGGAAATTTCTTTTCATATTCTGGAGACACTTATCCTGCAGATGTTCCAATCAAGGTCCAAATACTTAGTTATACAATATGTAATAACTGCCTTATAATAATAATTCACAGATACTAGTTTTCAACTAGGAAGTGAGCGTATCTTTTTACTCAAATGAAGTTGATGGTGTTTAATTTAAAAATATGACATCGTGCAATGAACAAAGATAACTATAAAAGGGACTCAGAAGCAGACACTTAAATTTACCAGCAAATTCACAATAATTTCAAATTAACTTAATTACTAGCTTAATTTTATCATGCACATTTTACCTTTTTATTTAGTTTAAGCCACGTAAAATAACCTTTGCTGTCTACATACTGCAGCCCAAAAAACCAGACCTCACGCAAACCAACTTTTTTCCCCCCTAAAAAAAAAAAAAAAAAGGAAAATTCATTCACATGGCAACTAAATGACACTAGAAACTAGACTTTAATAGAACAAAACTAGAGAGGTATAGATATATTCCTTTGCCATAAAAAAAAAGGCATTTCCTAAGGAAAAATTGAACATATTCACAGAACATGTCTGAAAACTTACATTTGGATTTTCTTCTTTTTTTTTTTTAAGGGAGAGAGAGAAAGAGAGAATTTTTTAATATTTATTTTTTAGTTTTCGGTGGACACAACATCTTTATTTTTATGTGGTGCTGAGGATCGAACCCAGGGCCCCGCACATGCCAGGTGAGCGCGCTACTGCTTGAGCCACATCCCCAGCCCTAAATTTGGATTTTCTATATACTCAATTTTGTACTATCACTTCAGTCTTCATACTTAATTCACCTGTTTGTATTTTCTTTTCCTCATCTCCCATTACAACCTCAACAAATAACAAGTCCAGAGAACAAATATGCAATTGTCATAATTCTACATTTCTATTCCAACTAATTCTTAGAATTACCCTATTGGTATTCAGGGCAAATAGTTTGATTTTTTTGCTTAGAAAAGAGTCTGATATTGTCTCTGTTCTACGATCACTAAGCATTAAACCATTCTTGGAACATGCCATAACTTTCACCCTTCTACACCTTTGCTCATGCTTTTTAACTCTCTGCTAGAATGTTTCTTCTGTCCTTTTGTCACCTGTTGAATAATTTATTATTCAAGGCTCAGCTCAACTAACATGCCTTCTGTGCAGAAAGCTCTCTCAATTTTTAGATAAATTAATCACTTGTTTCTGATTACTTTATTCTGCTATCAGAACACTTATTCTATCCTTTACCATTATTAAATGTGTTTTTAGTACTGTGTCTATTTACTTTCCTTCACTAACACTTAAGGACAGAGATTACCATTTTTTTTAAATTTTATTTTAACATCCAGGTCCTCTCATGGAATAATTATCCTATAGCAGGTACTCAAAAATACTGGAATACTAAAGTGGTGCAGCTAGCATATACATCCAGGATTATACCCACACTTAACAAAAGATAAAACATACTTCAAATAAAATAAAATACTTAAAATGAAGGGAATTGAGAGTTCACTAACATTTTAAAAACTTAAGATTTAACTTCAGCTCTTAAATGATAAACATTGTTAGTTTTTTAAAACTGATCTTAAAATATTCCAGGCTTTTGATTTCAATACAGCAAATTGATCCTTCAGTTTACTCTCATTTGAAATTTTTCACTAAAATGTTACATACAAAACATAGTTTCTCTCCAGGGAGAAATACCACTCCCAGGATTTTATTCCCTCTCTGCACCTGCTTGTCATTTTAGCAACAGAGAAAATGTAGTGAAAAGAAAGCCCTGAGGTGGTGAGAAGCAGCAGATGCATTTCTGAGCTCAGGTTAAGCAACCAAGTGGCCAAAGTAGCCAATCACTGGCTACAGAGGACCTCCCTGGTCTCAGGCCTGGCAAGACAGTGGAATGTTTAGGCTGCATCTTCCTGTTTTCAAAGGCTGCGACTTGTGCTTCATGTCTTGCCCACTTCCCATGACAGAGTCAGAGGGGAATTAGACGAGTCCTGCTTTTTATTCTTTATCTGGGAATCTTGCTCCTGGAATGGTTTGCTCTTTCAATTCATCAAATACTCACAACATAGCAAGAAAGAGGCTGCCCAAGAAGATTGCCTGAATCAGGACAGCTCCCTGTGCTGAGCACATGCTAACAGTAGGGTTTTCTCCCTGCAGGCCTCAATTGTTTAGCACCAATCCCAAACTTACAGATATGCAAGCATGGAGCCCAAATGAACCCTTTGAAGTAGATTTTTTTTTCCTCTATGCGAACTTCTCTGGCCTATGTGAATTCCAACTGTGCCTGTGGCCTCCTAATTTCTGGGATAACTGGTCCAAGCTTTTTGTTTGTTTTAAAAGAGTAAAAATTGGGATTTAAAATCAAATCTTTTGTTTGCCCTTCTTTCCCTTTTTAACTTTCTTTTGAGGGAGGCATTTTGGATTCCTCATATACCTTAACTTATGAAACTTGACTCCTGTTTCAGAAAAAAGGTGGCAGAGGAAAAATGAGAGGCAAGAGGAGTTCCAGGTCTTTCTAAGGAAGATTCCCTTTTTTAACTCTGTTGCATCCCTGAAGACTGGCCACTCATCATATGCTAGGGAGGGATTATAATTTCAATACTGAAATTGTTTTTCCTTACCTGAACTATAATTCACCTTAAAAACAATTCCGGAGGGGGAAGAGGCAGTATTGTTCAGGGAGTATGTATGTGTGACTCAGTGTGGCTGTTTTGTTTTGCAGTGGTTGTCTAAAATATTTTCACAGTATGCTTAATACTCGGTGTTTTAAAACATAGTAGTAGCCAGTAAAGTAGGATTCTGATTCTGGAACCTGGGATGTGTCCCATGCCAGTGGGTGAAGTTCTCACCTATGGTGGCATCCACACACCAGCTCCATGGGCAGAAGCAGGAGCTAGAATCAGAAAAACTAACAGACCCACATCAAAAGTAACCCACCAAGGGTTTTCATTTCATACAGGATACAGTATTTTTATTTTATCACAGAGTCATACTTTTTTTGAAGTTTTCAAAGTTTGAAATTTGAATGATTTCAAATTATATCAAATATTTAAATTATATTAAATATTAGTTTTAAAACTATAACAAAATCTAAAATTTCTATTTTTTGTTTATCATTTATCTGTTCTCTCATCTATTCAATTGTTTTATGTGGGTGGAAAAGTTTTCTCTTCTTAACATTTGTTTCTATAACCAAAAATAAATTATATATTAAAGAAAACAAAAAAAAGAATGTTTAAAATAAATGCAATTCAGTTATGCAAAGAATATATTAAAGGTTATCATAACAAACACATTTTTGGAGCATATGGAATATAAAGATTCATACTAATGTTGCAAAAGCTAATAATGCCAAACAATGAAAAATTTAATACAGATAAAAGGAGATCCCAAATAACTTTGGCAAGAGAGAGGCTATCCCAGCAAAGCCACAGAAAATGTTCAAGCTCAGGGTAGCAAGAACAGGAAAGATATAGGGCAAAAGTAGCAGAGAAATGTGAACCTAAATAGACGGCCTCAGCTTTTGCCTCCATGCTTTGTGAGATTTACAATGCTGGCTGATTAAAATGGGATGTGCCACAGTGGGCACAAGGCATAGTACTTTAACTAACTTTACACAACTAATATTCAAGACAATCGGGAAGAGTTTAGTTGTGAAATTCCCTAGTATGCCCAATCTCACAAGAAGCTCTTTCCCTACTTCTTCTGGAGGTATGATCAGAAACTTTTGATCACATACCTAAAAATTTTAAAATGCCGGGGGCATAACTACAACGGGTATATTTTTAATAAAATATACTATTATATTAATAAAGACTATATTTTTTAAAGAATTAGAAAAAGAAAGAATATAAACAAAAATTTTAATAAGAGATTTCTGAGTATTCCTTGGACATATGAATATTTTAATCCCACAAGTAGAAGCTAAACAAGGAGACTAGTAGAGGAAGAGTCAACCTCCAGGAGCAAATGAAAGAACTGCATGCACTCAATATTCACCGTAAAGGAATGATAAATGTTTGAGGAGACAGAGAGTGTAACTGATGTAAACATTATACAATGTATATCTCACATTGTATATATACATAAAACTCAATTAGACATCACATTATATACAATTTTTAGGTTTTATGTATGTTTTAATATCTAAATTTTTTAAAAAGTACTATCACACAAATGTAGTAATGAGAAAGAATAAAGAATCTCTCTATAGCTGTTCAAATTATATGAATAGGTACAGAGAAAAATTCCTGGTGCTACACTGTTGGACTATCAATAATGGTACAGGAAAAAACAGATGTATAAACTAGTGGGATGGGGATATGGCTCAGTGGTAGAGTGTTTGCCTCACATGCATGAAGGCCTGGGTTCAATTCTCAGCACCACACACATAAAAATAGTATGTAGTGGCATACATGTGGTATCAAAGTTGCATGCTTCATGTGATTAAATGATACCTGGTCAAAAAGCTGTTTGCCAGTTGTATTGGGCTGAATGGCAAATTCCAGTTCAGCATCCATTGTAGTTACTCTTACATTGATCTATAATAAAAACAGAAGAGAAAATCATTAGGAAAGACAATATACTTAATTACTTATTTAGTAGGCACGAGAAAAATCTTTTATCATATGTTTCAAAACTCTCTTATAACTTTAATTCACATTATAAGAACTTTTAATCAGATTCCTCATACCCCTTTGCATGTCTTAATCACTTTAACACCATATGTGGTGTGGCTTTTACCTGAATGCCTTCTCTAAACAAATCATATAAATTCATCCTTCTTAAAATAATCTTATTTGTATTTTTCTTTAAAATATCTTATTAAAAATATTGATATAAAAATACATGTGAAACATATGTAAAAGAAAAATGAAGTCCATAAATTTAACATCCAACTTAACTAGAAATGACAACTTGTTACATATATCACTGTATTTCTTTGCCAATTTACTTTTCCTCATCCCTACCCCCAACACATACAGGTAAATAATAATCTGAATTTTGTTTTTTTGTCATTCTCTTTCTTTTTTTTTCCTTTTTGGTTTTGGTACTGGGGATTAAGCCCAGGAGTATTCTACCACTAAGCTACACCCAAGCTTTTTTTATTTATTTTGAGACAGGGTGGCACTAAATTGCCCAGGCTGGTTTGTTCATATGACAAAACCTCAGCCTCCCAAGTCACTGGGATTACAGGTATGCACCACCACACCTGGCTGTCATTCTCATCTTTAAAAACTAATTATATCACTCACAGGTGTGTCTATGCATGTTTGTGTACACATATAGATAATCAATTAAAAAGTTGATTTTTTTCAGCTATCCTATAATTGCAAGCACTTGCTAATATAAGTCTTCTTTCTTAGTATGGACAATGGTTACATGGATATATTCACTTTAGAAAAGTTCAATTATAATAAACACGTTAATTGTACAAATTACTGGGATTCACTATGATGTAGTCTTTTGATTTGCAGATCTATTTCAATTAAAACATTTTAAATTGTATACTATACTTTGATTTTTCAATTATATTTCTAAGATTGACATTTCTGTGAGTAGTTACAAGTCATTTTCACAGCTATACCATCTTCTACAAGTGATTAAACAATTTATGTACCCATTTTTCTATCAATGGACATTGTTTCCATTGTTATGAAGTCTTATACACTCTCCTAGTACATATGCATCAGAATTCCTCTACACGTATTTACACAGAAAGAGAACTCCCAGATGATAAAATATGCATACCTCTTATTTTAACCATGTAATGAGAAACAGTCTTACAATAGTGCCTAAGAATTCTTATTGATTGCATTTTCACTAATAGTGGGTATCAGATTTCTTTAATGATAACCTAGTAGATATGAAATGATATATCAATATGGTCTTAAAATATGCATCCCTGATTCCTGATGAAGTTGAAAACCTGTTTGTATATGTGGCCTACAGAATTCTAAAATGATCCCAATAATCCCTGTGCCCTAGTGTTTCACCTATGATTATATTGCATTACATGATAAAAAAGAATTTTGTAGGTACTCTTAAGGTTCACAACCAGTTAACCTTAAGAGAGATTATCTGGCCAGGTGTGGGACATATGCCTATAATCCCAGCTACTCAGGAGGCTGAGGCAGGAAGATCACAAATTCAAGCCAGTCTGGGCAACTTAGACTCTGTTTCAAAAATTTTTAATTAAAAGTGGGAGTGGATGTTGCTCAGTGGTAGAGCCCTTGCCTAGCCTATATGAGGTCCTGTGTTCAATCACCAGCACTGCAAAAAATGATAAAAGGTTATCTAGGTAAGCCTGAGCTAATTACTAACCACTCAGTCTCACCTTTGAAATGTCTGTTCACATCTATGTCTTATTTTCCTATTGTGTTTTGTTTCTTTCTCATGCTTATAATAGGAGGTCTTTGTATATTAATCTTTTCTCAGTTATTTGCGTCAGAAAAAAATCTCCCTATTTGTCATTCTGTATTCTTTATGGTGTCTTTCTTTTTAATAAACACATATTCTTGATTTTAATGTTTTAAATTCAGAAGTCACTTTTTTGCCGTAGTTAACAAATACTTCCTTGTCTAGAGTCACAAAGATATTCTTACATTTCTTAATTTACATCTTAAAGGTTTTGGATTATATCTCTTTGATTTTTGCTTATGATGAAAGAGATCCAATTTCATTTTTAATCCCCATTGGATAATATTATGAAAATTTTTTAAATCTCAACATAATTTATTTACTCCCCAAAGACTGTCACAGACCAAGCATCTGTACAGGCATGGATCTTTGTTATACCAGCCAATTTAACTATTCTGCTAATATCATGCTGTTTTAATTACTATATCTTCAAATAAGTCTTGATATTTGGTAGGGCAAGTCTCCCCTCATTATTCTACAGAACTGTTCTGGCTATTCTTGGTTCTGTATTTTAGTTCCTGCCTCCAAATAAAACAGTAAATTTTCAAAACCCCACATTTATAATTTAGAACTACACTATATTCATCAGTCTTTCAGGGTAAGAACTGACATCTTTCCAATATTAACTCTACCCACAACTATGGTTCTTGTGTGCAATGATTTAGGACATCTTCAATGTTTTTTAGTCTCTTTTGTGAAAGAGAGTATTTATAGTTTCTCCATAAAAATAATAAGACTTTTATCCCCTGGACATTAAAGTTTTGTAGCAATTGTAAATATGGGTCCACAGTCCTTAATCCATAATTTTGATAGCCTAAAAGCATTCAAGAATGAAGTTTTAGTTTATTTTGGGCAAAAATTTGATATGAAGTAATGTGAACTATCACTCATGGTGAATTAATTTATTTCATTTCATATGGACATTCACACATTTCTCTATAGAAATGTTAATGATGCCATAGAACTAATAAAAGTTTCATGACATAATGTAATATACATTACAATACATAGTCACCCTTCTAAAATACTAAAAATTCCAAATTCTGAAACTCAGCTAGTTTCAAGGGTTTCAAAGGCAGGACTATGAAATCTGATGAAATATCTCTTCAAACTGTTCTGTTTGGGATTTTAAGGAATAAAACTGATTTTATTTTGATCCTATTATTTCACTTGTCAATTGTTATAATGAGTCTATAAATCTTTGTGTTGGGCTGGGGATGTGGCTCAAGCGGTATCGCGCTCGCCTGGCATGCGTGCGGCCCAGGTTCAATCCTCAGCACCACATACAAACAAAGATGTCGTGTCCGCCGAAAACTAAAAAATAAATATTAAAAAAAATTCTCTAAAAAAAAAATCTTTGTGTTTCTATAAAGCAAGAATTAGCAAGCTTTTCTATAAAAAGCTAAACGGTAAATATTTTCAGAGGATCATACAGTCTCTGTTGCAGCCACTTAACTCTGAACCTAGAGCAACAAAGCAACCATAGGTAATAAACAACTGAGCATACTGTGTTCCAATAAAACTTCATTATGGATCCTGAAATCTAATTTCATAGTTTTCAGGTGTTACAAAACAACCTTTTTTTTTCAACCACTGAAAATGTAAAAAAAAAATCATTCTTAGCTCGTAGGCAGTAAAGAACAGGTTAGTAAATTTTAGTAATCCTAAAATTTTCAAATAGCATTTCTTCCTTTCCTATACTTAAGCTTTTGATTTCTTTTTTTGTACAACAGGTTTTGCTATTCAAAGTTGAATAATAGCCATGATAACATGTATCTCCTATCTTGTTCTTGATTTTAAGACTGTTTCTACCATTAACACATTTAGAACAGTTTTTACTGTACATTCCTTCTCCATTATTATTTTTTAAACCATAAGTGGTTGTTCAGTTGTAGCAACTGATCTTTCTGAATGTATCACGATTTTTCTCCTTTAACTAATGGAATGACACCGAGTTACTAAGCTATAATGTCTCTTGGAACTAGGTATGCCCTTGTGACTAAGCTGTCACCAATAGAACATGAGCACTACAGACGCAGACTATTCCTGTGCATAAGCATAAATCAGTGGGAGCATGCTTCCCCGTGCTTTATCGTCCCTTCCTGCTAGCTGGAGGCAGCTTCAACTATAAATACTATAATAATACCTAAAAGGCTAAAGCTCAAACTTCTTGGGCTCAGGATCATTTTACACTCTTGAAAACTACAAAGCACTCAAAGAGTTTTTGTTATATGGGTTATATATATATCAGTATTTACTACATTAAAGCAGATAAATTTTAAAATATTAACTCATTTAAGTATAATGCTAATAAACTTAATACATGTTAACATAATAACATTGTAACATATAAAAATGGCTACCTATAAATATACTATTAAATTTTAAAAAGTGCAACAATACTGTTTAATTTTAAAAAGTGCAATTGACAGCTTTTAAATCCTTTTCATTTGATCTTAACAGCAATTCTTGGAGGTAATCAAAGCACTTGTTATCGAATCAATTTTACAAATGAATCAAGTTTGCAGAAGTTATGCTTCACCAAGGTTACATATCTACTAAGTATAAAGCTGGGCCAACAAGATTGGGGTAAAACACAAAAACGAAATTAACTTTCTCCAACTTTTGTGTTTGGGGGAAAAAAATACACATATTTTTTATTAGGGTGAGTGGGGAGAAAAAAGTCAGTTATATTTTGACCTAAAAAGTTTGAGGAAAAAAAATCCCTGATTATTAATATATTAAAATATTATCTTCCAGATATTTTAATGTACCAACCACAGACCTGATATCCAGTTGAATAATAAATCTGACTCTTCACTCTAAGGAACAATAAATAAATGTTCTCTGCATAATTACATTAGCAAAGAGTTTTCCAAAGTTCTTATAAGCATTCATATTCCTACTAGAAATACATTAAGGGTAACAGATGTTCCACATCCTTATCTACACTTAATATTATCAGTATATAATTACTCCCCTTCTAGTGCATAAAATGTTATTTCACTGAACCTTTAATTTGTATTTTGCTGATAACTAAAAACATTTAGAATCTTTGTGTGTTTATTGGCCAATTAACATAGCTTCTTTATATAAAGTATATGTTCAAAGTTTTTGCCCAATTTTTTTTATACTGAGTAATTGAACTATAGAACTTCATATTGCAATTATTTTCTCTCATTCCATCTTGCTGTTTTCTTATTGCTCTTTTTTTCACAGGGCAAATGGTTTTTGTTTTTGTTTTTTTTTGTTTGTTTATTTGTTTGTTTTGGGGGGGTGGGGTACCAAGGAATGTCCAGTCATATTTTGTATTCTATTTAGAGACAGGGTCTTATTGAGTTGCTGAGGCTGGCTTTGAACTTACAATGATCCTGACTCAGTTTCCCGAGCCACTGGGACTACAAATGGTTTTAACTTTGATAAAGTCCAATTTTTTCCTTATTGGTTCAAACTTTCTGTATATTATCCAAGAAACTTTCCCCTATCCAAGATCACAAAACTTTTTTCCTTTATTTCCTTCTGAAAGTTTTATACTTTAGGTTTTTGCATTTAGGTCTACAATCCATCTAGAGTAAATTTTTGAGTAAATTATGAGACAAGAATTTAATGCTCATGTTTTTTCTGTACAGATAACTCTTTGTTCCATCAACATTTGTTGAAAATAATTAAAATTCCCCATTGAACTGTGTAACACTTTTGTCAAAAATCTTATGATTATAATATGTAATGTGTGTGAGTGTGTTTCTATTTCTCTGACTCTATTATCTACCCTTTCACAATTACTACAATGTCTTGTTTTTGTAGCTTGAGAGTAAGTCTTGAAATGAAGGTGTGTGAGTTTTCCAGTTTTGTTCCTTCTTAAAACTGCTTTAGCAATTTGATCAATTTACCCAAAGAAGTTTTCAGGGTTTCAACTGAATAGAATTCAATTAAAACTACCAATATATCTGGGAAGAACTGACACCTTAATAGTTATTTATAAATAAAACTGTAAAAACTATCTGCTTGTCCATATATTCAGATCTTTAATTTCTTATAAAAAGTTTTCAGTATAGAGACTGTTTTGCCTCTGTATGTTTATTCCTAAGTACTTTATGTTTTCTATGCTCTCACTACATTTTTCAAACTCTGCTGTCATTATATATATTTTAAAAAACATTGATTTTATTTTTATTATTATTTTTACTATAACTTTTTGTCTAACAATCTTGCTAAATTAAGTTACTAGGTCTATTAGTTGTTTTATAGATTCATAAGAACTGTTTACAAATAATCATATCATGTGCAAATAGAAAATTTTACTTCTTAATTCTGATCTTTATACCTTTTACTTCCTTTTATTCTTTTCTACCAACTACACACTGTTACCTGCTGAGTCTTTAAAGCAATATTCATGAAAATCTAGTAACATAACCAACAATTTCTCTAAAAAGCTAACTGACCAAAAGGAACACTATTAAAAAAAATACCCCATTTTTTTTTTTAGATGAAAAGAATAGTTACTCTAGGACAAAAAGAATACATACACTTTAATCAAGAACCATATAATTCTAAAATCAAGTAAAATGACCAAAGATATACAACTAAGACTACATAATGTCAGTGTAAGTATCACCAGCATCAAAAACTAGTGTGTGAGAACACTTGAGAAAAAAACATGCAGCCGGGCACAATGGCACATGCCTTTAATCCCAGTGACTCAGGAGGCTGAAGAAATTTTATCAAACAAGTTCCAACCCAGCCTCAGCAATTTAGCAAAATCCTATCTCAAAAAATAAAAAGGGCTGGGAATATTGCTCATTACTAGTAAAACACTGCTGGGTTCAATCCCCAGTATTAAAAAAAAAAAATTTAATAAGCATGGGTCCTCCCAACCTCTCATTATTTTCTCTTAACAATAACTTACCTTTTTTTTTTGCACTATGTACCAGATTCTTTCAATCCTCATCATACTCCTTAAGTTAACTAATTATGTATACCCCATTTTATATAAAAAGGAAATTAAATCATGGATAGGTTGAATTAAATTAACAAATTACCCAGATTAAATGACAGTAAGTCAGTTTTACCCCAAGACCCATGAATTTTAACCTTAACTGCAATGTTATCCATACCAGTTCTTCACTGCCCATAATACTATGCTATAGCCACACTAATCTAAAACAAGTAATAGTAACCGAGCATTTTCTTCTAACAACTTTCCCTTGATATTTTGCCCAGTTCAAAAACAAAAAACAAACAAAAAAACTTACTGCTAATAATATCTTTTTAAGTAAACTATATATCAAAAGTAATAAAATTCACTTACTGGTTTCGGCATTTTCTTTCTCTTTTTGTTACTTTCTTTAAAAATTCTTCACGTCTATAAATTCTATTGTCACCTTCTGTTAAAGAAAAAGAATAATTTATTATCTTTTTCACATAAGGTTTTTAACTAACACTTATATAAAAGATAAACATTAGAGCACCAGAAGTAACAGTTCTTATTTATTCTAATTTTTAATGTCTCCTACTAATATTTCATGTTTCCTAGAAAGATTAAAACCTGATACTTGCTAATCTATTAAAAGTTTTAATTTACAGACAACACAGCAAAGAAACATGTTTGCTAAGGGTCTCTCTCAGTGTTGGGTTCATTCCTATATAAGACTAATAGAGAAAAGGACGGTAAAAGTGAGGATGAGTATATTCAGATTCTAAAGAATTAAGAATTTTTTCAACCATTTTTTGTACTTTAAAAGACAAAAGGAAATTCTAATGTAACTACAAATTTTTTAATTATTCTTGAAAGTTTTAAAATCTCAATAAAGTATATATGTAGCTTATCCACCTATACATATTAAACAGTCATAGCTTTGCACACTAAAAATTTTCATGCTGCTCACCAGCAAGCTAGCAGCATTCAATGAAATTTAGAATTGCTCTGAAGACCAATGGTAAATTGTATCTTCTCCCCCTAAGACAACAAATCTTATCAAGAATTATGACATTATCTTAGGGTAAATGTTCTAAGAAACATCTAACAAAACCAAGTTTCCTCTCCTTGCAAATCTGTTAAAATATCTAATTCTTAATCATTATTAATTTTCAAAAAATTATCATTTTAATTTGAAAACTACAGAAGTGTTCTATTAGATACATTATTTGAGAATAAGCTTATCTAGGTAATGTCTCTGGCAAGAAACTTTGTTACACAAGAACCAACTAAATATACACTGAAATAAGGTCATTTTCCTAAATTTTATTCAAGCACAGGCCAATAAACCTCTTTTTAGGGATAACTTTCTCCTTTAGTGTGGGGGATGCATGTGCACATGTGCACGCTCGAGTGTATGTTTTATCAGTCACTGGGCAATGAAATTCAGTTGGAAGCACACACCTCTTAACTTGTTCTTAACCTATCCCCTATCTATACTCCTCTACTTTTATAACCTAAATGTATTTCAGTCAAATTTTTCTACAATCTGTTTTCACAAGTCCTTCACTTTACCATCTCAGGTCTTGATTAAAACAGCCTCCAAAAGGACTTGCTTTTCATAATCTATTAGCTACTAGTCCCCAAATCTCTATCTCCAGGGTTTCTTGGCGAATTGGCTTATCTCAAAAAAGACTTGGCCAAATACTTCAATCCCTATCCCAGAGCCAAATCTACTTTTCTTCAAAGCTGAATGAATTATGTATTTCTAGAAATCTATTCATAGTATTCTCTTAGGATTTTTTTTCTCTACTAGATCTAAATTTGTGACCTTCTTTTCATTCCTGTTAATTTTGCCTGCTTTTGTTTGATTAGTCTTGCCAGAAGTCAAGAGTTGGTCTAAAAGTCACTTTTTTTAGTTTCATTGACCTTTTATTAATTTTGTTAATTTCTATTAATTTTTCTCATTTTCTTCTCATTAGTTGCTTTGGCTTTACTCAGAGGGCTGACTTTCTATTTCCTCCAACTGCAAGTTTACCTAAGTAATTTCCAATATTGTTTCTTTACTAGTTCATGCATCAAAATCATCAACTAAGTATGTCTAGTTATAGAAAAACTCCAAAAATAAAGTGATTTCCCTAATTTACCAGTGAGAAATTCAAAAATAATTTTATGATTTGAATATTAAATTAAATGTGCATCTATAACATTTATTAGTATACTTAAATGTTAAAAACGTGATCTATGAAATACTGATTCAGAAATATTGTTTGCTTCATCTCAAACTTCATAGAATAATTTTATTCTAATTCAATATATACATGAGATAAAAGTATCTGTTTAAAACTTGGACTACTTTTTGAATCAATAATTTTCTAGATTATATTAGTATTTTTGAATTAGTGTATCATATGATCAAATTTTTATTTCAAGTCACAATTATACATAGGACACCCTCCCATTTGTACTATAGGAAAAAATTTTAATATATTTACATTGTAACTACTCTTTTTTTGTTTTCATTTATTATTACTATTATTTTTTTAACTAAATCACATCTAGATTCCTCTGCCTTTTCCTATGTTTAAATCACTAGATGAGCCCTGTGAGCTTTCCAAACTCAAGTGAACTAATGGGGAGTTTCAAATCAATGTGCCTTTCTTGAAGTTTCATGCTCAAAAAGAAGACTGCATCTTATAATGAAAGACTTCTTAAGAATACAAATATAATTCTTTTCTGGGGAATATTTGAGGGAAAAAACCTTGCCTCTTACTTGAAACTATAGCATTTTTTCTAAGTAGCACTTCAGTGGCTTAGGTTTTTATACAGTTCTAAGTGTCCTGCCTAAATGTTTCCATTTCCAACCATGATTTCTAATCACTACTGAGAAATATTTTGTTTTTTAGTTTTCAAATAGAAGGGTTAGAGGACTTTAGGTAGAATGCCGATTTTTTTCATTACTTTTAAGTTTATTCTTCTATAGTCAAATAATTCATTAGGATATTTTATGTTTAGTACACGGTCAGTGTCTTTCTTTCTAGACTGTCCCAAGTATAAATACACTGTATTGTATGCATTTGATAAATTAAATCAAGCTAAACCAAGTTTTTAAAATTTTCTTAATAGTCTATTACTACTCATTTTAGTCTGTTTAATCAAATTTGGTAGAAACATATCAAGTTTTCTCAACTAATGAATATGGATCTTAATTTCTTCTTCTAAAATACCAGCTTTTAATTTATGTTTTAGGCTATTTTAAGTGAATCTAGGTTTAGAATTGTTCTATCTTCCCAGTGAATAGTTCCTTTTCTTCTTTTCTTGCAAATATAATTCTAAATTGACCATTATTCCCTCAGCATTTGGAAGACACTAGTTTATTCTGGCATCCGTTACCACTGATGAGGAGTCTGAGGTCAATCTAACTCATTCCTTTGCTTTAATCTATTCCAGAACAATTTTTACATTTATTTCTTTACTCAACATTCCTTTACCACCTCATTCCCTACCACCACACCCTGGGCAAGTTAGCAGGTATTCAAATGAGCTTCACATCTATCACACTACTTTCTAAACCATATGGTTGGTGTCTCTCTCCAATGCAGTATTTCATTAGTAAAGAAGAATAAAGAAAGCAAACATTTAATTATATGCCAGATTCTACAAACTAAGAGTAGTCAGATTATAGAAAAGGTATTTCTAAAACAGCTAGGCAAGTAAATATTGAAATAATTTATCCAGGTTTTTGATGTTAGAGTTACTTCATGTTATACTCTACAGGAAAGGATCTTCCAAACAAAATACTCCACACTAAAGTTTTAATCTTAATAAGAGAGCTCATCTGACATAAAAGTATACACGACAGGCCAACAAAAACAGAACCAGGGTCTTACACAAGCTAATTAAGCGTACAAAATCTCCTACAAGTGTACTTGATCTATACAAACTGTGAAATGGGGGAAGGGCTAATAAAAGCCATCACGAATATGGACTCTTCTAAATGAAGCTTCTAAAAATGTCTACTTTCAGATCAGTGTTTGGGGGGGGGGGTTAACCAGGGATTGAACCCAGGGATGCTTAACAACTGACCCACATCTCTAGTTCTTTTTCTCTTTTGAGACAGGGTCTTACTAAATTGCATAGGCCCTCATTAAGTTGCTGAGGCTGGCTCTGAATTTGCAATCCCCCTGCCTCAGCCTCCCTGGAATTATAGGCATGCACCACCATACCCAGCTTCTGTGTTCATTCTTAAAAATCATGTTAGGCTTTCCTGTTTTATTTCACTTCCCCATTTTATTTCAGTTTATCATAAATTATCTGAAGAAAAATGAGGCTCTCTTTGCCAATTGAACATAAAGTGACTGAGAACAATGCCTTATATTTATAAACCATAGTTTCATGTTCTTATACTTTGATTTTTTTACTAACAAAAAAAACCGGGAGGAAGGTAGGGGTTTCCTTTTTGGTTCCTTTATAATTGAAGAAACAAAACAAGGTCCACTTTTTTGTTGTTTTGTTTTTATGTAATGGGGATTGAAGCCAGGGGTGCTTAACCACAGGACGACATCCCCAGCCCTTTTTTATATTTTAAGCAGAGTCTCACCAAGTGGCTTAGGGCCTTGCTAAATTGCTAAGGCTGGTTTTGAACTTGCCATCCTCCTGCCTCGGCTTTCTGAGCTGCTGAGATTACAAGTATGTCACTATGCCCAGCACAAGGTCCATTCTTAACGTAGCTTGTCCAAAAGTCACATGGACAATAAATGGACAAGCTACAATCCTTCAGATGCCTAAAACCCACAACTCTATCATATACCAGCCTGTCTTCCTCTTTCTAATATTAAAAAAAATGAAAAATAATCTCATTTATGGAAATATAACCAAGGAAAATATTTTAAAATGTTTATAATGGTTTAACTACAAAGATTCTAATTATAGTGCAAGTTTAAAAAGTAGATGTCATATGGGACTTAAGAGTGAATAATGGTATAGACTACACTAGATCAAAATGCAGCTAATCAAAGTGTTACAGAAAATATTCAATGGCTAGGGAAAATACGCACAAACCTCTGAGGAAAAAGGCAGGTTATGCTGGGCATGGGGGCACATGCCTATAATCCCAGCAGTTCAGGAGGCTGAGGCAGGATTATCACAAATTCAAAGGCAGCCTCAGCAATTTCGCAATGCCCTAAGCAACTCAGTGAGACCCTGTCTCTAAATAATATACCAAAAAAAAAGGGTGGAGGATGTGGTTCAGTGGTTACATACACCTGCAATCCTAGCTACTCAAGAGGCTAAGGCAGGAGGATCACAAGTTCAAGGTCAGTCTGAGGAATTTAGTAAGATCCTGTCTCAAAATAAGGGATAGGGATGTAGTTCAGTGCTAGACCATATGCCTAGCACATGTGAAGGGCTAGGTTCTATCCCCAGTACTGCAAATAAATAAAAACATCCATAGCATATTGTCACTTTTTT